CTTTTAATCTATTGGCTTTTGAAAGCCAATAGAATAGACTCTCTTGAATAGAGTCTAATTCTATTGGCTTTCAAAAGCCAATAGGAATTGTCCAGGCTGTCTCTGCCCTGCTGAGCCCGCCAAAAGTCCCATTCTGCAAACGGTGCTGCACCAGTTGAGTAGTCCTCGACTTACGACCGGTTGAGTAGTCCTCGACTTATGACCGGTTGGGGGTCACGGCATTAAAAAGGTTGAGAACCACTGCATTAAAGGATCCACATAGAAGGGAACTCATATCCTTCATGACATGCTGGAAGCGATTCAGAACCGAAGCAACCTTAATTCCTATGGAAGAACACATATTGGGGAGAAACAACGCATCACAAGCGCAGAAGCGATTTTTATGCACAATTCTTCATTTTCTACCCCATAGGAAGATGAAACTTTAAAAAGGAAGGCTCTTAAACAGAGGCAAATAGTTTATCTGAACTCCATACTTCGCCCCAATTCTGTTTCTGACTTTTCTGCTGATACTTAACATTTAAGGCAGGGATCCCCAACCTGTGGGGCCTGAGGGTTTTGCAACTGAGCCATGGATGAGTGCACGCACATCCTTACTCGTTCAACCGGGGTGTGAGCGAGCACACGTGGCTGTGCTCCATTTCTGCATAACTCTCTAGCAATTGAGAGGGAGATTGGATCTTGAAAACAAACAACTGTCAAGATTATTATACCCTTCCACACACACACACACACACACACTCTCGTGCACTCATGGCCGGCACGAGCGCACCCACATCCTTTCTCACTCAAGCGGTGTGTAAGCGAGCGCACGTTCCTGTGCTCCAGGTGCGCAAGGGGCAGGTGTGCGTGCACGTTCCTCGTGTAAAGGGAGCTGTGCATGCACTTGCCAGCTGCTTATGCAAACCATCCCCTCTCTCCCCTGCCGGTCTGCAAAACATTGGAGAACTGTTGATTTAAGGTGTAAGAGGATTCAAAACATGGTTCTAAGTAAAGTGGGAAATTGTGTATGTTGTAGCACCTCTTTCATCTATTTTTTTTTATTTGTATAGCTGCCCATCTTATACATGGTTCCAGCTGGCTTACTATTGACATAAGAGCAAAGTAAAAGCACAACCAATAATTAAAAGCAACAAAATAGCAGTGAGAATAATCAAACACCACACAATACAATCAGACAACGGGCTCATCCAGACTATCAGGGCCCCAGGCTTGATGACAAAGCCAAGGTATTAATGCTTTAAAAAAGGCCAGCGAGGTTGAACTAAGCCGGATCTGGATGGTGGGGAGATGATATTGCCATGGCCCAAAAAACCCACCTCCTATGTAGCACTAGATGCCACTCTTGGGGATGGAACCCAGAACAAGCTCTCTTGGGCACAAAGCCAGACCTAACAGGGTGGATAGACACTACAGGTAGTCCTCGACATACGACCACAATTGAGCCCAAAATTTCTCTTGGTAAGGGAGACATTTGTTAAAGTCAGTTTTGCCCCATTTTTCAACCTTTCTTGCCTCAGTCGTTAAGTGAATTACCGCAGTTGATAAGTTAAGTCACGTGGTTGTTAAGTGCATCTGGCTTCCTTGTTGACTTTTGCTTGTCAGAAGGTCACAAAAGGTGATCGCGTGAGCCCCCAGGACACTGCAACCGTCATAAATAGGAGTCAGCTGCCAAGCGTCTGAATTTTTATCGCAGGACCATGGGGATGCTGCAGTTATGACCGTAATTTTGAAAAGTGGTCATAAATCCCTTTCTTCAGCGCCGTTGTAACTTCAAATGGTCACTAAACAAACTGTTGTAACTCGAGGACTACCTGTACTGGAGACTTGGGGGGGGGTTCCATAAGTAACCCAGCCACAAGGCATGAAGGGATTGGAGTGGTTTACCTCACCAAGGGGAAGATCCTGGTGTAGAGTCAAACGAGCATAACTCTCTAGCAATTGAGAGGGAGATTGGATCTCGAAAACAAACAAGCGTCAAGATTGTTATACCCTTCCACACTCACACCTGACCCGCTGTCTTTTACCATGGGTGCCAAACTCGCTGCGTGACGTGACGTGTCCTGTCAGAACTGACGTGTCCTGTCAGAACGTTATCGACTATGGAAAACCCCATTTCTGCCCTCTCTGGATTCTGTCATACGATGGAGGGGAAGGGGGGGGGGTGAACAAAGGGGTTTTATGGCCCTCACTGTAAGGGCTTCAAAGGACTTGAATGTGGATACCACCCAAAAGGACTAAAGCATAAGAATGGGGCCATCAGCTTTGATCTGCTCTCTGAAGTCTCCCTTCCACCGGCAGTGAGGAAAAAGGGGCTGGAAATGTAGCGCCTGAGATTGTGGCTGGAAAGATGGTGGGGTGGGGTGGGGTGGGGCTGCTGGGGACCCCTTAAAATCTTGAACCGCAGGGCTTGGGCCCCAGGTCCTGTCTAGAACGCCTGCAACCATTTTCTCTTAATAAAGGATGCCTGTTGGAAGGAATATTCCAAGAGTTCTGTCTTCTTAAGATGCCAAGAATTTTTTTGCATTGGCGGAGCTCAGGTGGGCGCAGCCTCCGCACGATGCAAACGGCCTGTGGACTGGCAGTTTGACACCCGTCTTTCACCCTCCAATGACCCTCACCTGAAGTAACCTCCCCATCACAAGACTCATCACAAGCCTCTGATGACACCCCTGACCCATCACCAGATCCTCACTTGACATACCCACACCTTATAAACAGAAGAGCGCAGATACACCCCCTAAATTCCACTGAATATGTTACCCAGCCTCTCGTAATGAAACATTCAGGTACCAAGCACAAGCTTGGAGGACGAACGTATCACCCTCATTCTACAAACCTGAATTGCAGATATTCCTCACTATTGCAAACTTGTGTGGCTTTCTGGTGCTTTGGAAAATAAATTGACCCCCTCTTCTTTATGGCCACCTCTCAAATACTGGAATACTGCTATCGTGTCCCCCCCCCCCAGTCTTTTCTCTAGACTAGCCAAACCCCAATCCTACAACTGCTCTTCATGTGTTTTAGTCTCCAAGCCTTTAATCGTAATAATAATAAGTAGTAGTAGTAGTAGTAAAGTTAGAAGGGACCTTGGAGGTCATCTAGTCCAACCCCCTGCTCAGGCAGGAAACCGTATACCATTTCGGACAAATGGCTGTCCAGTCTCTTCTTAAAAACATCCAGTGTTGGAGCATTTCCTGCTTCTGGAGGCAGGTTGTTCCACTGATTAATTGTTCTCACTGTCAGGAAGTTTCTCCTCAGTTCTAGGTTGCTTCTCTCTTTGGTTAGTTTCCACCCGTTGCTTCTTTCCTGCCTTCAGGTGTTTTGGAGGGTAGCTTGACTCCCTCTTCTTTGTGGCAGCCCCTGAGATATTGAAACACTGCTATCATGTTCCCCCTCATCCTTCTCTTCATTAAACTAGACACCCCCAATTCCAGCAACCGTTCCTTATATGCTTTAGCCTCCAGTCTCCTGATCATCTTTGTTGCTCTGTACTCTTTCTAGTTGCTCTTCTTTGCACTTTTTCCAAAGTCTCAACACCTTTTTTGTAATATGGTGACTAAAACTGGCCAATTAACCAGTGCAACAACTTGCCTCCAGAGGTTGTGGGTGCTCCATCACTGGGGGTTTTTAAGAAGAGACTGGACAGCCACTTGTCTGAAATGGTATATAGAGTCGCCTGCTTGAGCAGGGGGTTGGACTAGATGACCCCCAAAGTCTCTTCCAGCTCTATTCTGATTAAGATGAAGATTAATCTTTATGATTCAAACCAGAATCAGCAACAGAAAGGTGAGCCAAGAGGTTTTCATCAGAATAATAATAATAATAATAATAATAATAATAATAATAATAATAATAATAATAAGCAGGAAAATTGAAGAAAGAGACCGAGGGATTAATTCTGGCTGCACAAGACCAAGCCTTAAGGACAAATGCATACAAAGTCAAAATTGAGAAGACAGCAACAGACAGTAAGTGCCGCCTATGCAAAGAAGCTGAAGAAACAGTGGACCACCTGGTAAGCTGTTGCAAGAAGATTGCACAGACTGACTACAAGCAGCGGCATGACAAAGTAGCACAATGGTGCATTGGAAGATCTGCAAAAAATATCATTTGCCTGTAAGCAAAAACTGGTGGGATCATAAAATAAAGTCATAGAAAATGATAAAATTAAACTGCTCTGGGACTTCAGAATTCAAACAGACAAGCACCTGCAACATAACACCCCAGACTTAAAAATTGTTGATAAGAAAGACAAAAAAGTCTGGATAGTGGATGTGGCAGTGCCTGGAGACAGCAGAATAGAAGAGAAAGAACTGGAGAAGATACAAAATACAAAGACCTACAAATAGAAATAGAAAGACTGTGGCAAAAGCAAGCAAGGGTAGTACCAATAGCGATAGGCTCCTTGGGTGCAATCCTAAAACAACTGGAGCACCACTTGAACACCATTGGCATTGACAAATTTGCTATTAGTCAATTGCAAAAGGCGGCCTTACTAGGAACTGCTTCCATCCTGCGACGATATCTGTAATACCATCAAACATCCACATCTGCTATCCCAGGTCCTGGGTAAGGACTCGATAGGTAGACAAAATGCCAAATCCAGTCTGAACATCTGGCTGACTGTGCGATGATCGATAATAATAATAATAATAATAATAATAATAATAATAATAATGTTGGAAGGGACCTTGGAGGTCATGTAGTCCAACCCCGTTCAGGCAGGAAACCTAATACCATTTCAGACAAATGGCTGTGCAGTCTCTTCTTAAACACCCCCAGTGATGGAGCACCCACAACCTCTGGAAGCAAGTTGTTGCACTGGTTAATTGTTCTAACTGCCAGGAAGTTTCTTCTCAATTCTAGGTTGCTTCTCTCCTTGGTTAGTTTTCACCCGTTGCTTCTTGTCCTGCCTTCAGGGGCTTTGGAGAAGAGCTTGACTCCCTCTTCTCTGGGGCAGCCCCTGAGATATTGGAACACTGCAATCATGTCACCCCTCGTCCTTCTCTTCGTTAAACTAGACATACCCAATTCCAGCAACCGTTCCTTATATGTTTTAGCCTCCAGACAAAAATATCTTTCTTTGCAAGATATTTTTTTCCCTGTTAGGAAAATGGTTATATTCTCAGCTGTGGTGCAGGACGGTCAGTTTCGGGACAAAGTCCAAACCTTACCCCCTCAAACTCTTAACCCACCCAGTTCCTCTCCCAACGATCACCCCTTTGGCGTCCCAGGATTAAAAGCCGGGGGCGCCCGGGGGCGCCCTCTTGCAAGAGCCTCCTGTTTGCCCAGCTCAGCAGGAAGCAGCCCTCAGGATGGCGGAGGAGCCGAGCGGAGTTGGGCGAGAAGAGTCCCAGGAGGGAGAACGGCTCCGTTCCCTGCAGTCCCCAAAATCTGGCGGAAACCCGTCCGGGGAGGGAGGCGCGTCTGCCCGGCTGCAGCTGCGCGGCTGGCCTGGGAAGGCGGAGCGCGGATCCTCGTCCTGCGCGCCTCTCTTTTGGGGATCGCGGGCTCGGTCCTCAAGGGCCGGCGCGGGGGAAACTCCGCCCTGGCAAGGATCCGACCTGCCCCTGGGATTCATCCTTGCCCCTTGATGAGAGGCTTCCAAAAGGGCCAGGACTTCTGAAGAAGCGTCTTTGGGGGGGGAAAACAACCCCTCTGGAATACAAGGTGGAGAGGTATGTTGTGTGCGTGCTTGTGCGTTTGTGCGCGCTGTGGAATACAAGGCGGAGGGGAATTTTGCGTGTTTGTGCGCACTCTGAATTAACATGGCGGAAGGGTATTTTGGATCTGTGCTCTTGGTGTAGAAAGTGGAGGGGTATTTTGTGCATGTGTGTGTTTGTGTGTGCTCTGGTGTACGAAGTGGAGGGATACTTTTGTGTGTGTGTGTGCGTGCGTGCTCTGGGATACTTGGTGGAGGGGCGTTTTACGGCTGGGTCTGTGTCTCTGATTGTTTTACGTATTTCCCCCTTTTTCTGTGTTAAATTGAAATAGTTGGTCGCAAAAGCGACTGCCTGTGAAGGCTCCTAGATGGGAGTTGAAAGGCAAAGGCAGAAGCAGTAGACTCTGTCCCATATAGTAATAGGAGTAAAGTTGGAAGGGACCTTAGAGGTCATCTAATCCAACCCCCTGCTCAGGCAGGAAACCCTACACCATTTCGGACAAATGGCTGTCCTGTCTCTTCTTAAAAACTTCCTGCGTTGGAGCATTTACTGCTTCTGGAGGCAGGCTGTTCCACTGATTAATTGTTCTCACTGTCAGGAAGTTTCTCCTTAGTTCTAGGTTGCTTCTCTCCTTGATTAGTTTCCACCCGTTGCTTCTTGTCCTGCCTTCAGGTGCTTTGGAAAATAGCTTTATTCCCTCTTCTTTATGGCAGCCCCTTTATTTGGGTACATCAGGTTGCTCTGATAGACAGATGTAAAAGAGATGTTGAGAGTCTAGAAAGTGTGCAGAGAAGAGCAGCAAAGATGATCAGGGGACTGGAGGCTAAAACATGCAAAGAAGGGTTGCTGGAATTGGGGATGTCTAGTTTAATGAAAAGAAGGACTAGGGTGAAAGGAGAAAGTTCCTGGCAGTTGGAACAATTAATCAGTGGAACAACCTGCCTCCAGAAGTTGTGAATGCTCCAACACTGGAAGTTTTTAAGAAGAGATTGGACAACCGTTTGTCTGAAATGGTATAGAGTTTCCTGCCTGAGCCGGGGGTTGGACTAGATGACCTCCAAGGTCCCTTCCAACTCTGTTATTCTACTATTCTTCTTAGCATGGGAAGCAGAAGCGTTATTAGGAACAATAATCATTCATTCCGTTTAAATGCTGCAGAATTCACAGAGGCTGTCAGCAGTTTGCAAAGTGTTGGCAAGGTTTAAAAACAAGGAAACCACAAAAGAATTAGAAGGGGGGAGAAGCTTTAAGAAATCTGAATGGAAACAAACAAAAAGAAAAGGGCTTCAGGAATTTCAGGGCCCTTCAAAATCCAATAGGATAGGTCACATTTGAATCTGGGGGGGGGAGAGGACTCTTAATCTCATTCTACAGTTTTGAATAAGGTTGCTTTTTTTTTCAATCAAGGAAAATCTTTGGATTTCTTTTGCAACAGGGAGAGAATAAATGAACTCCCAACAGGCAGAAGGAGTAGTCCTTGCTGTGACTCATAGGATATTCTTCAAAATTTGATTAGAATAGAATAGAATAACAGAGTTGGAAGGGACCATGGAGGTCATCTAGTCCAATCCCCTGCTCAGGCAGGAAACCCTACCATTTCAGACAAATGGTTGTCCAATCAAGGAGAGAAACAATCTGCAACTAAGGAGACAGTTCCTGACAGTTGGAACAATTAATCAGTGGAACAACAATACTCCAACACTGGAAGTTTTTAAGAAGAGATTGGACAACCAGTTGTCTGAAATGGTATAGAGCAGTGGTGGCGAACCTATGGCATGGGTGCCAGAGGCGGCACTCCGAGCCCTCTCTGTGGGCGCACATGCCGTTGCCCCAGCCTTGCCTCCGCCCGTGACCTCCTCCACAGCAGCAGCCTCCCTGAAGGAGAGTTGCCCCTGAGCGTGGCCCATGCGGAGCAGCTCAGCCAGGGACATGACAGCCAGGCAGCGTAGACAAGACTCTGTCCTCATGCCCCAACGCGCACAGTTGATGCTGTGGGGCATGGGCAGAGGGCGTGGTGCTGCTGGGCTGCCTGGGCAATCTGCAGCAGGCCCTGGAGGCGGTGGGGCGGGGCAGGGGCAGGGCAGAGGATGGAGTAGGGGCGGGGCCAGTTTTTGGGCAGTCGGTCTCTAAAAGGTTTGCCATCATTGGTATAGAGTTTCCTGCCTGAGCAGGAGGTTTGACTAGATGACCTCCAAGGTCCCTTCCAAATCTGTTATTCTGATCTGTTATTAATAGTATGAAAAACGGTCAAAAATTACTTGTAGCTGTGTTTTTCACCATGGAGGAAGGGGCCCTGGTGGATGCTGAGGAACAAGCCCTGCACCAAGAGGTCATGTTGGAAAATGCAAGGAATATGGCCTCCTTAGATAAGGGATTCTGTTAAGATGTTTATATTTAGTAGTTGGAACAGTGGAATTGTAGAATGAGTCAGAAGTTACAATTCTAGCTGATTGGTTGGAGAGAGCTGTCTACTGCCTGAGGCAATCTGTGCTGTGATTGGTTACTGTGAGTGTAAAGGTGGCATTTCCTTGTTTCCCGCCTTTTTTCCTCTATCTGCAATTTTACCTCAGGATGATCCTGTGGTTTACCTCAGGATGCTCCTGTTAGCCTGACTGTCTTGTTTACTGTAAATATTGATCTGAAATATATTCATTTAAACTACAAGTTCACGTCAGCGTCTCTGACTTCATTTGGACGCCTGCTGTGCAATTCCCTGATAGACTCTCTTTCCTCTGGACTGAAAGTGTGGTGGACGTGAACAGCTGATCTGTTTCTCAGATGAACTGCTAGTTTCTTTACTGTGTGCAGTAAACAGCAGTGTCCTTATCTATGTTTCTACTCCTACTTAGCCTGAGAAAATGGCCTAAAATCTCCACGCTGTCTCCATGAAGTTTCTCATCCTACGCAGTTTCTAATCCTGCCTATCTCACTTTGTAGAGAGCTTTTTAGAAGCTGCTTTCATTTTGTCGTTTTTTGGTCTATAATGAGGGCACTGAAGAGACCCATAGAGTCCACGGGGTTTCTCACAAGGATGTAACTTCTAGCAAAGTTGTTTGTCTGATTGGCCAGTGCAGATGGGATCTTCCAACCCTAATCCATCTCATTTTCTCCCTTTTTTAGTGCTACCTGCAAATTCAGGAACAACTAGAGATACTGTAAATCTCTATGGAGATTCTCAGTCATCCAGGTCATAGCTGTCCCAAAGGTGCTTTTTCAAAAGGCAACTGGACTTTATTGCTTTTTAAGGGATTTTCTTTCCTTTGGACTGAAAGGGTGGTGGAAGTGAGCAGCTGATCTGTTTCTAAGATGAAATGCTGTTCATTGTGTATGGTTAACGCCCAACCCCCAGCCTGCCCAGTCTCGGCAGGCAGCGGGGCGCTTTCGTCACAGCACCGAGAGGTTGAGCCGGGAGGTGCGAAGCTCACCCGTTTTGCACCTTGCTCCCTGCTGAAACTGGGCAGGCTGGGGTCTAGGCAGCATTGCACTTCTCATCAGATTCGCGCCACCCAGCTCACCCTCTTGGCGCCATGAGGAGAGCGCCTCGCTGCCTGCCGAAACCCCTCCCCTGGAGCCCATCAAGCTGGATATGTGAAGTAGGTGAGGGCCATTTGCTGGCCACTTCCAAGCAATGATGCATTTCTTCATTCTTCGCAAAGGGTGACACGTCCCCAACATGCACCCGGGGGCAGGGCCAACGTAGCAGGGGTTGGTTCCAAGCTGTTTCCAGATGGCCTTGTGGAGCTAAGACTGAATGCGTTTCAGCACTTTTGTGATGGCTACCACAAAATTGTACATTGGCTCCCAGCTGGCCTGGGCCAGGGCCAAGGCAGCGGGGGCCATTCCCTTACTGCAGTGGTTCTCAACCTGTGGGTCGGGACCTCATTTGGGGTCGAACGACCATTTCACGGGGGTCACCAAACAACGCAGTCTGCCATTTTTTCCCCCTTTTCCTTAGCTGTGCTACTCCCTTTTATTCTATTGGCTTTTGAAAGCCAATAGAATAGACTCTCTTGAATAGAGTCTAATTCTATTGGCTTTCAAAACCAATAGGAATTGTCCAGGCTGTCTCTGCCCTGCTGAGCCCGCCAAAAATCCCATTCTGCAAACGGTGCTGCACCAGTTGAGTAGTCCTCGACTTACGACCAGTTGAGTAGTCCTCGACTTACGACCAGTTGGGGGGTCGCACCATTAAAAAGCTTGAGAACCACTGCCTTACTGTTTCCAGGATGGCTTCGCGGGTCACATGAAACCACTTCGGAGGCTGCATCCAGCCTCCGGGCCTTGTGTTTGACATGTCTGACGAACACACACAGGTTAATTGCCCATTTGTCCCCGTGTCCTCCCTTCTCCTAGCCTTTGATGGTAAGATGCCAGCAAGCACCGCCCCCCCCCCCCATTCTCATGGAGATCTTCCTTTGGGCAACTAGGGGAGAATGAACAAGTCCAAATTGAAAACCGGTATTTTCAAGGGAAAACTATCCTCAAGCAGAAGAGGCAAAAACCTCAGTTAAGACATCAATCAATCAATCAATCAGAATAAAGCTGAAAGGGACCTTGGAGGTCTTCTATTCCAACCTCCTGCTCAAGCAGATGGTGATGAGAGGTTCAGGAATGTTCAAATAAGGGATGCAACAAATGATGCTTAATTCCTTTCATACCACAGTTTGTTTCATTTATCCTTTTTTCCCCCCCAAATAGGTGGTGATGTGAAGATAGAGGGTTCTAGCCAAGCGATGGCAACACCTTTTCTAACAGTCAAAAAGGAAGATGTGGAAAAGATGAGTGAAAAGGAAAGGCTTGGGGGAAAGGAGGAGCTGGAGAAATACTCTAGTTTCCAGTGTGCAGATATCGGCTCTTTCTTGCACAGTGATGATCCCCAAGAAAAAGGAGCATGTCCAGGGTGCGGAAAAATACCCAGAGATGAATTGGGATTATGTGATTGTGTAGAGAAACAAAGTGAAAGTAGGGAATGTTCCAGAAGGACCCTTCCTCTTATTTTTCATCAGAAAATACAAGAGGGAGAGAACCTGTACAAATGCACGGAGTATGCGGAAAACTTCAGTACAAGCCAGTCCCTCACATCCCATAAAAACATTCCCAAAACAGGGGATCCATACAAATGCCTGGAATTTGGAGAAAACATCAGTCAGAAAAGTCACCTGAATTCCCATCAGAGCATCCACAAAGGGAGGAAGCGGCATCAATGCATCACCTGCGGAAAGAGCTTCAGAATGAGCAGCTCTCTAACTTCCCATCAATGCATCCACAGCAAGGAAAAGTTGTATCAATTCAGGGAGAATAGAACGAAGCTTACCCAGTGCCAGGAACTGAATTCCTGGAAAAAAAGCCCCACTAAGAATGATTCATGTAAATGCCTGGAATGTGGGAAGAGCTTCCGTTCTGCAAGGAATCTCACTTACCATAATAGGATCCATACAGGGGAAAAGCCGTATCATTGCACAGTGTGTGGAAAGAGCTTCACCCAAAATGGCAATTTAAATTTACATAAAAGGATCCATACCGGAGAGAAGCCGTATAAATGCACAGAGTGTGGAAAGTGCTTCAAGACCCCCGGTGCCCTTACTTCTCATAAGACAATTCACACGGGGGAGAAACCCTATGAATGCCAGGAGTGTGGGAAAAGCTTTGCCAGAAGCGGTACTCTAACCTTACATAACAGGATCCATAAAGGGGAGAAACCTTATAAATGCCTGCACTGTGGAAACAGCTTTAGTCAAAAAGTGCATCTTCAGTCACACGAGAGGATCCATACGGGGGAAAAACCATTTCAATGCATGGAGTGTGGAAAGAGCTTCCGTGCCTCAGAAAACCTTACTGCCCATCGCAGAAGCCACACGGGGGAAAAGCCCTTTCAATGCCTGCAATGTGGAAAGCGCTTTGCCAGTTCTGGTGGCTTTTATGCCCACGAACGGATCCACACAGGGGAGAAACCGTACAAATGCCTGGAGTGTGGAAAGAGCTTCCGCAAATCCAGCCACCTAACTTCCCATAACAATATCCACACTGGAGAGAAACCATATCAATGTTCCGAATGTGGAAAGTGCTTCAATCAAACAAGTAACCTTAATATCCATAAAAGGATCCACACAGGGGAAAAGCCTTATAAGTGCACCGAATGTGATAAATGCTTCATTGACTCGGGAGCCCTCATTTGCCACAAAAGGACCCACACTGGAGAGAAACCATACGAATGCAAGGAATGTGGAAAAGGCTTCGGTCAAAAAAGAACTTTTATAATACATTACAGAATCCACACAGGGGAGAAACCATACAAATGCACGGTATGTGGAAAGAGCTTCAGTGATCCTCAAGAAATTGTTTCCCATGAAAGGATCCACACTGGGGAAAAACCCTATAAGTGTGTGGTGTGTGGAAGGGGCTTTAGGACCTCCCGTGACCGTGGTTCCCACAAGCGGACCCACACAGGTGAAAAGCCATACCAATGTGGGGAGTGTGGAAAATGCTTTAGTCAAAATACTTCCCTTCATATGCATAGAAGAATTCACTCAGGAGAGAAACCATATAAGTGTATGGAGTGTGGAAAATGCTATAGTAGTAGTGGTGCCTTTAATTACCATAGGAGGACACATACTGGTGAGAAACCAGATAAAAGAGTTGAACGTAGAAAAGTAATTAGTTAGAATCAGTCACATAACATCCACAGAAAAATTTACTCACCAAAGAAGCCATTAAATGAATCAAGCGTGAGAAGAGATTTTTTTTTTAAAAAAAACTTATTTTTCTTGTTAAAGGATTTGCTCATTGGAGAAACTACTATAAATATCTCAAGGTGATAAAATGCTTCGGTGCCTCTTGTTTAGTTATTCCCATAAATTGATTTAGCTGGAAGAAACCGTAGAAATACACTGAATGTGGAAAGTGTTTCTGAAGCACCAGAAACCTTACTTTCCATACGTCTATGGAGATTCTCAGTCATCCAGATCATGGTTGTCCCCAAAGGTGCTTTTTCAGGAGGCAACTGGACTTTCTTGTTTTTCTTCGAAGACGTTTCGCTTCTCATCCAAGAAGCTTCTTCAGCTCTGACTGGATGGTGGGGAATGGAAGGATTTATACTCCTTGCAGGAAGCTGGTCATTTGCCTTCTTTTACAAATGTCTTTGAAGACATTTTCTTTTCTTCGAAAACATTTAGCTATGCACTTTGGGATGAACACCCTTCAGTTGGAACTGTGCTTGTCTTCAACCGTGAAGGACAAAAAACATCCTACAGCCAAAAAGACTCCACACTGATTTGCATTACTCATGTGGCCCTGAGGACACAGATAAGATGGAGTCTTTGGCATGAAAAGTATATTTCTCATCAAAGGATCCACATAGAAGAGAAAGCATATCCTTCATGACATGTTGGAAGCGCTTCAGACCAAAGCAACCTTAATTCCTATGGAAGAATACATATTGGGGAGAAACAATGTGTCACGAGCGCAGAAGCGATTTATGCACAATTCTTCATTTTATACCCCATAGGAAGATGAAACCTTAAAAATGAATGCACTTAAACATAGGCAAATAGTTTATCTGAACTCCAAACTTCGGGGACTGTGCCACAATTCTGTTTCTCTCTTTTCTGCTGATACTACTACTACTACTACTACTACTAATAATAATAATAATAATAATAATAATAATAATAATAATAATAATAATAAAGTTGGAAGGGATCTTGGAGGTCATCTAGTCTAACCCCCTGCTCAGGCAGAAAACCCTATACCATTTTGGACAAATGGCTGTCCAGTCTCTTCTTAAAAACTTCCAGTGTTGGAGCATTCACTGCTTCTGGAGGCAGATTTTGTTCCACTGGTTAATTGTTCTCAACTGTCAGGAAGTTTCTCCTTAGTTCTTGGTTGCTTCTCTCCTTGATTAGTTTCTATCCGTTTGCTTCTTGTCCTGCCTTCAGGTGTTTTGGAGGGTAGCTTGACTCCCTCTTCTTTAGGGCAGCCCCTGAGATATTGGAATACTGCTATCATGTCCCCCCTAATCCTTCTCTTCGTTAAACTAGACATACCCAATTCCAGCAACCGTTCCTTATATGTTTTAGCCTCCAGTCCCCTAATCATCTTTGTTGCTCTTCTCTGTACTCTTTCTAGAGCAGGGGTGTCAAACTCAATTTCATTGAGGGCTGCATCAGCATTATCGTTGTCCTGGGGGGGGGGGCAGGTAGGTGTAGCCAGGGTGGGCACGGCCTACTGAGTGGGCTTGGCTGTAGTGGGTGTGGCCTACTGGGTGGGCATGGCCAGCTCTACATCATTTGCATCAAGGGTGCCTGTGGGGGCCTGGGCAGGAGTGGGACAGATCTGAGGGTCTCTGGCAGAAGGGGGTGGGACCGGGGCAAGCAGCAAGGCATGGTCCACTGGAAGAGCCTCACTGTTCCTCTCAGGCCATGCGAGGGGGGGGGCTGGATGGTGCCACAGGCTTCCCGGAGCCCTGGGCAGCAGAGGTGAAATGCCCAGCCTGGCCTCCATGCACCCGCAGCAGCAAGCCCAGCCCCACTACTCCAAGGGGGTGCCCAGCTGCATATACCTCCTCAAGGCTGCTGCTGCTGTTCTTGCTCTCCGTAGCCAGGTTGCTCATGATGGGTACGAGGGCAAAGTCAGAGGGAGGCCCACTCCCTCTCCGTGGGAGGAGACCTGGCTTTGTTATCCAAAGCTTTCTTAGCAATAGGATGGGAGACCCCCAGGATAGGCCAGGAGGAGGGGGGAAGGGGATGGTGAAAGGGCAGCAGGATAGGACTAAGGCAGGAATTCCCTCAGACCCTCCCTCTTTTTACACCTTGCTGCCTGCTGAAATCAGGCAGGCTGGGGGCTGAGCGGAGTCGCCTTTCTTTTTGAATTTGCACCACCTGGCTCAGCCTCTCAGCGCTGTGAGGAGAGTGCCCTATTGCCGGCTGAAACCCCTCCCCCGGAACCCATCAAGCCAGATATGTGAAGTAGGCGAGGGCCATTTGCTGGCCACTTCCAGGAGATGGTGCATTTCTTCATTCCTCCCCAGTGCACGCCCAGGGGGTAGAGCCAGCGCGGCACGGACTGGTCCCTTGCTGTTTCCAGATGGCCTTGTGGAGCTAAGACTGAATGCGTTTCAGCATAGATGGCCACCACAAAATTGTACATTGGCTCCTGGGCAGCTGGGGCCAAGGCAGCGGGGGCCATTCCTTCACTGTTTCCAGGATGGCTTCACAGGCCACATGAAACCACGTTGCAGGCCGCATCCGGCCCCGGGGCCTTGTGTTTGACATGTCTGTTCTAGAGTCTCCGCATTTTTCTTACATTGTGATCAAAACTGGATGCAGTATTCCAAGTGTGACCTTACCACGGCATTGTAAAGTGGTATTAATACTTCACGTGATCTTAATTCTATCCCTCTGTTAATGCAGCCCAGCACTCTGTTGGCTTTTGGGGCAGCTGCAGCACACTGCTGGCTCATATTTAAGTGATTGTCCACTAGGACTCCAAGGTCCCTCTCACAGTTAACTACTATTGAGCAAGGTATCCTCTATACTATAACTGTACATTTGGTTTTTCTTGTCTAAATGTAGAACCTTACTTTTTTCATCATTGAATATCATTTTGTTAGATAGCGCCCAGTGTTCAAGTCTGTCCAGATCCTCCTGTATCTTAAGCCTGTCTTTTGGAGTGTTGGCTATTCCTGCCAGCTTGGTGTCATCTGCAAATTTGATGATTTCCCCATCTATCCCCTCGTCCAAATCATTGATGAAGAGGTTAAAGAGCACTGGGCCCAGAACGGGGACCACACGATGAGTATGACTGGTCAGCCAGCTACGAATCCATCTGGTGGTGATGCTGTCTAACCCACATTTTTCTATGTTATCAAGTAGTAGGCTGTGATCTACTTTATCAAATGCCTTATATCCACAGCATTCCTCTGATCCACTAATTTTGTCACTTCGTCAAAGAATGCAATAAGATTTGTCTGGCATGATCTGTTTTGACAAACCCATGTTGGCTTTTAGTAATTACTTTTTTTGCCTCTAGGTGTTCGCTGATTCGTTGTTTGATTATTTTTTCCAGAATCTTCCCAGGTATTGAGATCAGGCTGATAGGTCTGTAATTTTCTGGATCTATTTTTTTTTTCCTTTTTTGAAGATGGGAACTACATCAGTTCTTTTCTAGTGGTAGTTCCCCAGTGCTCCAGGATCATTGAAAAATATAGTTAAGTGGTTCTGAGATCACATCTGCCAGTTCCTTGAAAACCTTGATGTCAAGGTTCCGACTAATGAAACACTTCAAAGAACTTCCATGCATTGTTTATCCTAAAAAGTCTTTATTCGTGGAACAAAGTGTCAGCACAGCATGGAGGGATGCCAAGATTTGAAACATTGGATGTGTTTTGCTTTGACACTTGGGGTGTAATCCATCTGGTCCTGGTGATTTGAACTCGTCTAGGCTGGATAGGTGCTCACTTACCATTTTCTTGCCTATCTTGACTTGTGTTTCTATTCTGTTTTTTATGGCACTATTTTTGATATGTTGGTCTGTTTTTTCCCTTTGTGTAAAGACAGATGCAAAAAACGAGTTAAATAGTTCTGCTTTCTCTCTATTGCTTGTCACCTTCTTGCCACTTTCACCCACTAACGGACCAATCATTTCCTTCACTTTTTTCTTGTTTTTTACATGTTGAAAGAAGCTTTTTTTGTTATTTTTATCTTTGGTCGGGGATCCCCAACCTGTGGGCCATGAGGGTTTTGCAACTGAGCTGTGGAAATGGCCGGCACATGTGCACACACATCCTTACTCACGCAAGCAGGGTATGAGCGAGCGCACATGCCTGTGCTCCATTTCTGCAAGTGGCAGGTGCACATGCACATCGCTCGTGTAAATGGAGCTATGCACGGTCTTGATAGGTGCTGACGCGAACCATCCCCTCTCTACCCTGCCGGTCTACAAAGCCAGAAACATTGGAGAACTCTTGATTTAAGATGTAAGAGGATTCAAAACATGGTTCTAATTAAAGTGGAAAATCGTGCATGTTCTGGCAGCTCTTTCATCTATTTTTTTTTATTTGTATAGCTGCCCATCTTATACATGGTTCCAGATGGGTTACTATTGACATAAGAGCAAAGTAAAAGCACAACCAATAATTAAAAGCAACAAAGTAGCAGTGAGAGTAATCAAACACCACACAATACAATCAGACAACGGGCTCATCCACACTATCAGGGCCGCAGGCTTGATGACAAAGCCAAGGTATTAATGCTTTGCAAAAGGCCAGCAAGGTTAAACCAAGCCGGATCTGGATGGTGGGGAGATGATATTGCCATGGCCCAAAAAACCCACCTCCTAGGTAGCACTAGATGCCACTCTTGGGGATGGAACCCAGAACAAGCTCTCTTGGGCACAAAGCCAGACCTAACAGGATAGATAGACACTACAGGTAGTCCTCGACATACGACCACAATTGAGCCCAAAATTTCTCTTGTTAAGGGAGACATTTGTTAAAGCGAGTTTTGCCCCATTTTTCAACCTTTCTTGCCTCAGTTGTTAAGTGAATTACCACAGTTGATAAGTTAGTCATCCCGTTGTTAAATGAATCTGGGTTCCTCATTGACTTTGCTTGTCAGAAAGTCACAAAAGGTGATCACGTGAGCCCCCAGGACACTGCAACCGTCATAAATAGGAGTCAGCTGCCAAGCGTCTGAATTTTGATCACAGGACCATGGGGGGGGGGCATACTGCAAAGGTTGTAAGTGTGAAAAATGCTCGCAAGTCCTTTTTTTTTTTCAGAAGGAGATCATGTGACCCCAGGACACTGCAGTCATAAATATGAGTCAGCTGCCAAGCGTCTGAATTTTTATCACAGGACCATGGGGATGCTGCAGTTATGACCGTAACTGTGAAAAGGGGTTGTAAGTCCCTTTTTTCGGTGCTGTTGTAACTTCAAATGGTCACTAAATGAACTGTTGTAAGCCGAGGACCACCCGTACTGGAGAGAGGGGCAGGGGTTTCCATAAGTAACCCAGCCACAAGGCATGAAGCGTTTGGAGTGGTCTAACTAACCAGGGGGAAAATCCTGGTGTAGAGTCAAATAAGAGCCTAACTCTCTAGCACAGTGGTGGCGAACCTACGGCACGGGTGCCAGAGGTGGCACCCAGAGCCCTCTCTGTGGGCACTCGTGCCGTTGCCCTAGTCCTAGGCCTTCAGCTGAGTTTTATAAAATGTTTTCTCTTTAGGCCTCCGCTGTGTGCAAAAAAAAAAAAAATGCTTCAATCTATCAATTTCAACTTCTCATGGAAAAAAAAAAGATCTTGCAAAGTTGGAATTGATTGATTGAACTTTTTAGTCCCACCCAGTCTGCTGTTACCACCTCACCCATGCCCACCCCACGATGCATAAGTGGGTTTTGGGTTGCAGTTTGGGCACTTGGTCTCTAAAAGGTTCGCCATCACTGCTCTAACCATTCAGAGGCAGATTGTATCTTGAAAACAAAACAAGTGTCAAGATTATTATATCCTTCTACACCAGTGGTTCTCAACCTTTTTAATGCCGCGACCCCCCAACTGATCGTAAGTCAAGGACTACTCAACCGGTCGTAAGTCGAGGACTACTCAACTGGTGCAGCACCGTTTGCAGAATGGGACTTTTGGCAGGCTCAGCAGGGCAGAGACAGCCTGGACAATTCCTATTGGCTTTTGAAAGCCAATAGAATTAGACTCTATTCAAGGAAGTCTATTCTACTGGCTTTCAAAAGCCAATAGAATAAAAGGGAGTAGCACAGCTAAGGAAAAGGGGGAAAAAATGGCGGACTGCGTTGTTTGGCGACCCCCGTGAAATGGTCCTTCGACCCCAAATGGGGTCCTGACCCACAGGTTGAGAACCACTGGTGTAATGAATATGTGTATTTTATTTAAATTGTTATATTTTTGTAACCGGTGCTGTTCTTGAAAATGATTTTTAGCAGAAAATACAACAGCATCCTTAAAGTAAGATTTCAGATCTCATTAAGGTGTCTTTGTGCCGTGATTTTGATTAAAAATTCACAGATGGAGCCTTCTTTTTATTGATTCGTAGTTAAGTAATAATTAATGCACTCTCTTGAGTTGTACAAATAAAGGTGAGTTATAAATCAGGCAGACAAATAAATAAGGCGTACTAGCAGTATTTCTGACTGAGATGGAAATATTTTATATGATAATTTAAAACTTATATTATCAATGTTGCCATGTATGGACTTATGAGCTGTTTGTGTGCAAATTATTACTGCCTCTTGACTCTAGTACAGTGATTCTCAACCTTTTTAATGCTGTGACCCCCAACCGGTCGTTAAGTCGAGGACTACTCAACCGGTCGTAAGTTGAGGACTACTCAACTGGTGCAGCACCATTTGCAGAATGGGACTTTTGGCGGGCTCAGCAGGGCAGAGACAGCCTGGACAATTCCTATTGGCTTTTGAAAGCCAATCGAATTAGACTCTATTCAAGAGAGTCTATTCTATTGGCTTTCAAAAGCCAATAGAATAAAAGGGAGGAGCACAGCTAAGGAAAAGGGGGGAAAAAATGGCGGACTGTTGTTTGGCGACCCCCGTGTTCGACCCCAAATGGGGTCCCGATCCACAGGTTGAGAACCAGTGTTCTACACTCACACCTGACCCACTGATGTCCTACACCCTCCAATGACCCTGAACTGAAGTAACCTTTGTGATTCAAACCAGAGTCAGCCACAGCAAGGTGAGGCGTGAGGTTTTCATCTGCTTTCTTTGCAAGGTATTTTTTTTTCCCCCTATTAGGAAAGTGATTACATTCTCAGCTGTGGTGTAGGACGGTCAGTTTCGGGACAAAGTCCAAACCTTACCCCCTCAAACTCTTAACCCACCCAGTTCCTCTCCCAACCATCACCCCTTTGGCGTCCCAGGATTAAAAGCCGGGGGCGCCCTCTTGCAGGAGCCTCCTGTTTGCCCAGCTCAGCAGGAAGCAGCCCTCAGGATGGCGGAGGAGCCGAGCGGAGTTGGGCGAGAAGAGTCCCAGGAGGGAGAACGGCTCCGTTCCCCGCAGTCCCCAAAATCTGGCGGAAACCCTTCCGGGGAGGGAGGCGCGTCTGCCCGGCTGCAGCTGCGCGGCTGGCCTGGGAAGGCGGAGCGCGGATCCTCCTCCTGCGCGCCTCTCTTTTGGGGATCGCGGGCTCGGTCCTCAAGGGCCGGCGCGGGGGAAACTCCGCCCTGGCAAGGATCCGACCAGCCCCTGCGACTCATCCTTGCCCCTTGATGAGACGCTTCCAAAAGGGCCAGGACTTTTGAAGAAGCGTCTTTGGGGGGGAAAAAACAACCCCTCTGGAATACAAGGTGGAGAGGTATTTTGTGTGCGTGCTTGTGCGTTTGTGCGCGCTGTGGAATACAAGGCGGAGGGGAATTTTGCGTGTTTGTGCTTGTGTGTTTGTGCACGTTCTGGAATACAAGGCGGAAGGGTATTTTGGATGTGTGCTCTGGTATAGAAACTGGAGGGGTATTTTGTATATGTGTTTGTGTATGCTCTGGTATACAAAGTGGAGGCATATTTTTGTGTGCGCGTGTGCGTGCTCTGGAATACAAGGTGGAGAGGTATTTTGTGTGTGTGCTTGTGTGTGCAGGTTCTGGAATACAAGGCGGAGGGGTATTGTGTGTGTGTGTGCTTGTGTGTGCAGGTTCTGGAATACAAGGTGGAGGGGTATTTTGTGTGTGTGCTTGTGTGTGCAGGTTCTGGAATATAAGGCGGAGGGGTATTGTGTGTGTGTGTGTGCTTGTGTACGTTCTGGAATACAAGGCGGAGGGGTATTTTGTGTGTGTGCTTGTGTGTTTGTGCACGTTCTGGAATACAAGGCGGAGGGGTATTTTGTGTGTGTGCTTGTGTGTTTGTGCACGTTCTGGAATACAAGGCGGAGGGGTATTTTGTGTGTGTGCTTGTGCACGTTCTGGAATACAATGTGGAGGAGGGGTATTTTGGGCGTGTGTGCGCTCTGGAATACAAAGTGGAGGAGTATTTGGGTGTTGGTGTGCTGTGGGATACAAGGTGGAGGGGTATTTTGTGCGTGAATGTATATGCTCTGGAATACATACATTGTGTGGGTGTGGGTGCACTCTGGAAAACAAGGTGGAGAGGTATTTTCTGTGTGCGTATGACTGTTTTATGCGTTTCCCCCCTTTTTCCTGCATCCAGTTTTGATCACCACGATGTAAAAATGATTTTGAGATTTGTAGAAAGAGTGCCGAGAAGAGCAACAAAGATGATCAGGAGACTGGTGACTAAAACATAGGAGGAACGGTGGCAGGAATTGGGTATGTCTAATTTAATGATGAGAAGGACTAAGGGTGACACGAGAGCAATCTTCCAATATCTTAGGGGTTGCCCTAAAGAAGAGGGAGTCAAGCTATTCTCCAAAGCACCTGAAGGCAGAACAAGAAGCAATGGATGGAAACCAATCAAGGAGAGAAGCAACCTAGAACTAAGGAGAAATTTCCTGACAGAAAAATTAAACAGTGGAACAACCTGCCTCCAGAAGTGGTGAACATTCCACAACTGGAAGTTTTTATGAAGAGGTTGGACAATCATTTGTCTGAAATTGTATAGGGCAGGGGTCCCCAACCCCCAGTCTGTGGACCAGGACCAGTCCGGGGGATGTCAGCAACTGGGCCACACAAACAAGAAAGGCTCCATCCTCAGGATGCAGGCAGTATTCAAAACCACACCTGCTCTGGTCCACGGAAAAGCCTTTCTCCATGGCACGGGTCCCTGGTGCCCAAAAGGTTGGGGACCTGTCACAGCAGTGTTTCTCAACCTTTCTAATGTCGCGACCCCATAATACAGTTCCCCATGTTGTGGTGACCCCCAACCACTTATATATCACCGGATGCCAGGGGCGTGGCCAAAGAAAAGGGGGGGAAATGGCGGACAGCCTTGTTTGGCGACCCCTGTGAAATGGTCGTTCAACCCCAAATGGGGTCCCGACCCACAGGTTGAGAACCACTGTGTTACAGGGTTTCCTCCCTGAGCAGTGGGTTGGACTAGAAGACCTCCAAGGCCCCTTCCAGTTCTGTTATTCTATTATTCCTCTTAGCATGGGAAGCAGAAGTATTAATTGGAACAGTAATCATTCATTCCCTTTAAATGCCGCGGAATTCACATGAGCGATTTGCAAAGTGTTGTCCAGGTTTAAAAACAAGGAAACCACAAAAGAACGGAGGTGGTGGGGGAGAGGATGGGAGGCAGAGATAAGAAATCAGAAAGAATAGGGCAGGGGTCTTCGAACTTGGCCCTTTTATGACTTGTGGACTTCCAACTCCCAGAATTCCTCAGCCAACATGCCTGGCTGAGGAATTCTGGGAGTTAAAGTCCACAAGTCATAAAAGGGCCAAGTTCGAAGACCTCTGGATTTCAGGAATTTCAAGGCCTTCAAAATCCAACAGGGTGGGTCACATTTGAATCTGGGGGGGAAGGAGGACTCTTAATCTCATTCTACACTTTTGAATAAGGTTGCTTTTTTTCAAGCAAGGAAAATCTTTGGATTTCTTTTTGCATTTCTTTTGCAACGGGGAGAGAATAAATGAACTCCCAACAGGCAGAAGGAGTAGTCCTGGCTGTGACTCATAGGATATTCTTCAAAATTTGATTAGAATAGAATAACAGCGCTGGAAAGGACCTTGGAGGTCTTCCTGCTCAGGCAGGAAACCCTATACCAGGGGTAGGCAACCTTGGCTGTTTTATGACTTTATGAATTCCTGGGAGTTGAAGTCCATGAGTCATAAAAGAGCCAAGGTTGCCTACCCCTGCCCTATACCATTTCAGACAAATGGTTGTCCAATCTCTTTTTTAAAACTTCCAGTGTTGGAGCATGCACCGCTTGCTGATTAATTGTTCTGAGTAAATTTCTCCTTAGTTCTAGGTTGCTGCTCTCCTTGATTAGTTTACATTCATTGCTTCTTGTCCTGCCTTCAGGTGCTTTGGAGAATAGCTTCACTCGCTCTTTCTTGTGGCAACCCCTGAGATATAGGAACACTGCAATCATGTCACCCCTCGTCCTTCATTAAACTAGACCAGGGGTAGGCAACCCAAAACACTCAAAGAGCCACTTGGACCCATTTCCCACCAAAAACAAAACACCAGGAGCCGCAAAACCCTTTTGATATCTAAAATGAAGATAACACTGCATATATCCTTTTTTACCTTTATTATAGGTGTGTGTGTGTGTTTGTATATGTGTTTGTGTGTATGTATACACACACACACACACACACATTAAAAATGAAAGTAAAAATATGACTCTTGGGAATATCCATTAAAACAATGATCACCAAGAGAATGCTTTAAGAGAATAAAATTACATACTCTCTCTCTCTCTCTCTCTCTCTCTCTCTCTCTCCCTCCCTCCCTCTCTCTTTCTCCCTCTCTCTTTCTCCCCCCTCTCCTATCTGCTGCTCACCTGACAAGCTTCAAGCTGTTGTCCAACAAGCTCAGGGGTAGAAAACCTCGTCTCTTTTATGACTCATGGACTTCAACTCCCAGAATTCCTGAGTCAGCCTAGCTGGGCTAGCTAGCTCTCTCCTGCCCTTCCTGCTTCCTGTTTCCTGCAGAGACGCAGCAAAGGGAGGAGCTCCGCCCAGAAAGCTTTTCAGCTCCTCGGAGAACATTGTGAGTGCACTCTCTTTTACACACACACACACACACACACACACAAACACATACACACACACACACACACACACACACACACAGAGAGAGAGAGAGAGAGAGAGAGAAGCGCAATTGCCTCTCTCTGTCTCTCTCTGCAAAGGCAGAGGAGGCTGGGAGCCACATGGGAAGGCTCAAAGAGCCGCATGCGGCTCCGGAGCCGCAGGTTGCCGACCCGTGAACTAGACATACCCAATTCCAGCGACAGTTGCTTATATGTTCTAGCCTCCAGTCCCCTGGTCATCTTTGTTGATTTTGAAGTGCTTCTTCTAGGGTCACTCTTAAGATTGCCCATCGCCTTGTAAAGATGATTCTGCATTGCCCTTCCTGATTATTTCCAGGGGAATGTTCTCTGGTGCTGTTTCAGGTCCGGAAACCTTTGAGTTAAATGGCTGCTGAACTGCCCATGGGAAAGGAGGTTGATTCCTCTCCGGAGCTGCTGTTTGGGGGAGTCACTCAGGAGGATCCACTTCAGAAGAGAATATCAGGTAAAGGCATCCTTCTGATGCTGTTTATGTCAACGCTGCAAATATTGTATATTCTTGCTTTGACAATATGCAGAACTGTCTGTTATTTATGGGGTTAATACAGAGCAGAAGGGGGGTGGGGGTAAAGCCCGGGAAAGAAAGAGGAAGGAAACCTTTGACCTTCACACTAATTTGATAATGTGATGTATGACAGCTAATTTAGGGAGGGAACATGCTGATAATTTAACTACTCAGAGGAACTTAGATCTTAGCATAAACCTTCCGTTATGCCTGTGCCGACATTTTGAAGCAATAAAAGACTTTTAGGGAAATCAATGCCTGGAAGTTTCTTTGAAGTGTTTCGTTAGTCGGAACCATAACAGTTTAATCCTCTGGATTTATTTTGTCTGAGTGTCTTTGGAGATTCTCAGTCATCCAGGTCATAGTTGTCCCAAAGATGCTTTATCACGAGGAAACTGGACTTCCTTGTTTTTCCTTTGAAGACGTTTCGCTTCTCATCCAAGAAGTCTGACTGGAGGGTGGGGAATGGAAGGCTTTATATTTCTTACAGACAGCTGGTCATTTGCATTCTTGCGTGGGGAAACAAAACAACCATTTCATAAACACATGGCACAACATAGGAGAACAAACCCATCAGGACAAGATTCGGCAGTCCATCTGCATTTAAAAAAACAAAGGGCACTCTTTTGAAGACAGCAAAGCCCTCATTTTGGACAGAGAGGACCACTGGTTTGAAAAAGGGGTCAAAGAGACCATCTATGTCAAAACTGAACAGCCCCCTCTCAATAGAGGGGGAGGGATACAACGTCATCTATCTCTAATCTACAACACAGTCCTTTCAGCAGTTCCAAGAAAGCTCTACGGCCATTTGCACTATTGAGGTGACCCAGAGGACACAGATAAACCTCCAGGTGGCCTCAAGGACTTTCTAAAATAGTGTCTCTCACCTTTTTAATGCCGTGACCCCCCCCCCAACCGGTTGTAAGTCGAGGACTACTCAACCAGTCGTAAGTCGAGGACTACTCAACTGGTGCAGCACCGTTTGCAGAATGGGACTTTTGGCGGGCTCAGTAGGGCAGAGACAGCCCGGACAATTCCTATTGGCTTTTGAAAGCCAATAGAATTAGACTCTATTCAAGAGGGTCTATTCTATTGGCTTTCAAAAGCCAATAGAATAAAAGGGAGTAGCACAGCGAAGGAAAAGGGGGAAAAAATGGCGGACTGCGTTGTTTGGCGACCCCCGTGAAATGGTCGTTCGACCCCAAATGGGGTCCCGACCCACAGGTGGAGAACCGCTGCTCTAAAAGAATGCAAATGACCAGTGGTCATTCCATCAGAAATGGTGTAGCGCAGGGGTGTCAAACTGCCAGCCTGTGGGCCGGACGCCTCACCGGGAAACCACACCCACCCCATTGCCAGCAATGGAGAAAAAGCTCCGATACATTGCGTGACGTCGCGAGTTTGACATGTCTGTTGTAGAGTCTCCTGCTTGGGTGGAGTTTTGGAATGGATGACCTACAATGGATGACCTACAACTCTGTAATTCTAATTCTAATTTTAATTCTGTTCTGTTCCATATTCTAAAAAAGAAAGAGGTTCTTTTCTGATTACCTCCAAAATGAGCAAAGCTGCTAAGCTCATGCTCTACCCTTATCATTTCCATAGATCTGAGTTGGACTTTTGATAACCAACATCTCTCATCTCTCCACTGGATCTTCCTTGGTCTCCCACGACTGGTAGAAGCACCACTCAGCACAAGCCCCATACCTAGGTTTCCACTGTCTCCCACTTTCACACAACCTCGTCAGTCTGAGTAACCCAGGTGGGCTGCTCTCTGGCCACAAGGCACTCATGCCTGCTAGATCTCCAGTTCACATAAGCAAAAAATGGACTTTCTGAATTTGAGGCTCCAGAATAGAGGAAGGGTGTTTTTATAACAAATAGTTCCTGGTTTTTTTCCCCCCACTCTCAGAGATAAGAGCGCCATCGATGGAATCTTCCGGAATATCTCTTGTCTTTGGTGGAAGAATAGCAACACTTGGGCTTCCAAGGAAGGTAGAAAAATCTTTCCCTCCTTTTCTTGGCAGAGAAGAAATCTGAGGTTTTACTTCTGTAGAATTAGCCAAACCCATGAAAGTTTATACCAGTTGTATTTCTAATCAGAAGCCTGTATTTCTCCAGGGAAGTTGTTAATTGATCCTAGTTGAAAGCAGGAAGTTATAATAATAACAACAACAGAGTTGGAAGGGACCTTGGAGGTCATCTAGTCCAACTCCCTGCTCAGGCAGGAAACCTTATACCATTTCGGACAAATAGCTGCCCAGTCTCTTCTTAAAAACTTCCAGTGTTGGAGCATTCACCGCTTCTGGAGGCAGGTGGTTTTACTGGTTAATTGTTCTCACTGTCAGGAAGTTTCTCCTTAGTTCTAGGTTGCTTCTCTCCTTGATTAGTTTCTTTAAATAGGAATGAGAGTAGAAATAGAAAGTAGAAATAGAAATAGAAGTAGGTATAGAAGGGAATAAGACTAGGAATAGAATACTTTATTTGGCCAAGACTGATTAGACACACAAGGAAATTGTCTCCAGTGCAGAAGCTCTTGGCGTACAAAGCATCATCATCATCATAACTAATGGAGGGGGTAGTAAGGAAGTTAAGAAGGATAACAATAATGCCACAGACATACAATATGGGTAAATAGACATTAGACAGCACTATAAGAATTAGGTGTTCAGCAGAGCGATGGCACAAAGGTAAAAAAAAAATCTGTCCCTATATCTAGTTGTTTTGGCATTCAATGCCCCATGGCGACATTCAGAGGAAAATGTATTTTTCATTTAGGTTGTTCAACTGTTCCTTAGTAAGAAAAGTTTGTACAATATGCTGTTTTTGTTTCAGAATGCCATTTCCTTTGAAGACGTAGCTGTGTTTTTCCTCTGTGGAGGAATGGACCCTGCTGGATTTGGAGCAAAAAACCCTGTATCGAAAGGTCATGCTGGACAACGCAAGGAACGTGGCCTCTTTAAGTAAGAGATTCTATTTTTCTCAGCTTAAACTGTGGTGGGAGGTATTTTTACAGCCAGACATAAGCAGTTAATTTCTTTCTCAGAGGAAATAGTAGAAGAGTGTCCTTCTTTGCCTTTCTACTCCTACTTTGTTAACAGATGGTCTAAAACAGTGGTTCTCAACCTTTTTAATGCTGCGACCCCCAACCGGTCGTAAGTCGAGGACTACTCAACCGGTCGTAAGTTGAGGACTACTCAACTGGTGCAGCACCGTTTGCAGAATGGGACTTTTGGCGGGCTCAGCAGGGCAGAGGCAGCCTGGACAATTCCTATTGGCTTTTGAAAGCCAATAGAATTAGACTCTATTCAAGAGAGTCTATTCTATTGGCTTTCAAAAGCCAGTAGAATAAAAGGGAGTAGCACAGCTAAGGAAAAGGGGGAAAAAATGGCGGACTGCGTTGCTTGGCGACCCCCGTGAAATTGTCGTTCGACCCCAAATGGGGTCCTGATCCATAGGTTGAGAACCACTGGTCTAAAATCTTGTACTCTCTTTAGCAATAGCAATAGCACTTAAGACTTATATACCACTTCACAGTGCTTTACAGTCCTCCCTCTAAGTGGTTTACAGTCAGCATTTTGCCCCCAACAATCTGGGTCCTCATTTTACCCAGGATGGAAGGCTGAGTCAACCTCGAGCTGGTGAGAATCAAACAGCCAAACTGCTGGCAGCTGGCAATCAGCAGAAGTAGCCTGCAATACTGCATTCTAACCACTGCGCCACCATGGCTCACTAGAAAGAGGAAAAGGGGTAATCGTAATAATAATAATAATAATAATAATAATAATAATAAGAAGAAGAAGAAGAAGAAGAAGAAGAAGAAGAAGAAGAAGAAGAAGAAGAAGAAGAAGAAGAAGAAGAAGAAGAAGAAGAAGAAGAAGAAGAAGAAGAAGAAGAAGAAGAAAGAAGAAGAAGAAGAAGAAGTAGTAGTAGTAGGGAAGGGACCTTGGAGGTCATCTAGTCCAACCCCCTGCTCAGGCAGAAAACCCTATACCATTTCGGACAAATGGCTGTCCAGTCTCTTCTTAAAAACTTCCAGTGTTGGAGCATTCACCATTTCTGGAGGCAGGTTGTTCCACTGGTTAATTGTTCTGTCAGGAAGTTTCTCCTTAGTTCCAGGTTGCTTCTCTCCTTGATTAGTTTCCATCCATTGCTTCTTGTCCTGCCTTCAGGAAAATAGCTTGACTCCCTCTTCTTTGTGGCAGCCCCTGAGATATTGGAATACTGCTATCATGTCCCCCCTCGTCCTTCTCTTCATTAAACTAGACATACCCAATTCCAGCAGCCGTTCCTTATATGTTTTAGCCTCCAGTCCCTAATCATCTTTGTTGCTCTTCTCTGTACTCTTTCTAGAGCAGCGGTTCTCAACCTGTGGGTCGGGACCCCATTTGGGGTCGAATGACCATTTCACGGGGGTCACCAAACCATGCTGTCTGCCATTTTTTTCCCTTTTCCCTAGCTGTCCTACTCCCTCTTATTGGTGGCCACACCCACTTGGGGGTCACCACAACATGGGGAACTGTATTATGGGGTCACGGCATTAGAAAGGTTGAGAATCACTGTTCTAGAGTCTCAACATCTAGTTTCCAAACCTGTCTGTCCTACTTTGTAGGTAATGTTAAGCATTCTCTTCCTCTTTTTATGTCATCTGTCTGTAACAATGGCATTTGGGAACCTGATTAATCACACAGGAGCATCACAAGGATGTGACTGATAGAGAACTGGCCTGTCTGATGGGATGGGTATTCAAGACATGGGACATTCCACCCAGATGACTCCTCCTCCCACTTGCTTCCTTTTCTTAAGTTAACTCAGACCAAGAACCATTTTTTTTTCCAAGGGAGATCTTCCTCATGAAAAGAAAGCTGGACCTCAGTTCTCAGGTCCCGACACTTTCCCTTTCTCAGATGAAAATTAAACCAACATGTTCTCCCTTATCAAGTCCATTAGCGAACACAGACTCTGTTCAAGATTCCCTCTTGCTTCCTTGGAATCTGAAGGAACGGTAGAGGTGATGGTGCCCCAAAGTGAGACTCAGAATAATTTTCCTCAAAGAATTTAGGTTTGCCTTTTGTAGAATGCAGGGCAAGAGAGAAGCCTATGGGAGATCTCACATCAACTCAATACAAGTGTAGCCCCATGTTTTCAACACACTCGTGACAGAAGCAGGGAGAAAAAAATCACAAAAAAGAGCTAAAAGGAAGAAGAGATGGTGTTGAATTTTTGGTAACGTTCAAATGAGGAATGCAATATTGATGCTTAATCCCATTCATAATTCAAGTTTGTGCCAACTTTCCTTTTTTTTTTTTTCCTGTTCCAAACAGGTGATGGATGGCAGATACATCATTCTGGCCAAGAGGCAGTAGCACCTTTTCCAAACGTCAGAAAGGAAGTTATAGAAAGAATGTTTGGAAACGAAAATTCTGAGGAAAACCAGTTAAAAGGGAAGCTGGGAAAATGTTCCCCTTCTCATTTTGCAGATGTCAGTGTCTTCTTGGCTGAAGGTGACCACCAAGAAAAAGGAGCGTGTCCACAGTGTGGAAAAGTACTCAGAGATGAGTTGGAATTATGTGACTGTTCCAGAAGCCACACGGTAGAAAAACAAAATAGAAGCAGGAAATGCTTCAGAAGAACCATTCCTCTTACTTTATGTCACAGAATACAAGCTGGAGAAGAATCATATAAATGCCCAGATTGTGGAAAAAGCTTCAGAGACTCAAGTCATCTTACTTCCCATAAAAGGAGCCACACAGGAGAAAAACCATATGAATGCAAGGAATGTGGAAAGAGATTCCAATTTGCCACAAGCCTAATTTCTCATAATAGGACTCACACAGGGGAGAAACCATATGAATGCCAAGATTGTGGAAAATGCTTCACTCTCTCAGGTTCCCTCACTCAGCATAAATGGATCCACACCGGAGAGAAACCATATAAATGCCAGGAGTGTGGAAACAGCTTCACTAGTTCAGGATCCCTCACTCGCCACAAAAAGATCCACACAGGAGAGAAACCGTATCAGTGCAAGAACTGCGGAAAGAGCTTCAGGCAAAAAATTCATTACATTGTACACAACAGAATCCACACTGGGAAGAAACCACATAAATGTCAGGAGTGCGGAAAGCGTTTCAGTTCTTCAAGAAATCTTACTTCGCATAAAAGGATCCACACTGGGGAGAAACCATATAAATGCCAGGAGTGTGGAAAGAGCTTCAACAATTCTCAGATCCTTACTGATCATAACAGGATCCACACAGGAGAAAAACCATATAAGTGTATGGAGTGTGGAAAGAGATTCCGTTCTGCAAAACCCCTTACTTACCATGTAAGGATCCACACAGGGGAGAAACCATATAAATGCCAGGAGTGTGGAAAATGCTTCACTATGTCGGGTTCCCTCACTTCTCATAAAAGGATCCATAGCGGGGGAAAACCATATAAATGCTTAGAGTGTGGAAAGAGCTTCAGAGACTTAAGTTATCTTATTTCCCACAAAAGGATCCATACAGGAGAAAAACCATATGAATGCCAGGAATGTAAAAAGAGTTTCCATTTTGCTAGAAGCCTTATTTCCCATAATAGGATTCACACAGGTGAGAAACCATATAAATGCCAGAATTGTGGAAAGTGTTTCACAGCTTCAAGTTTTCTGGCTTCCCATAAAAGTTTCCACACCGAGGAGAAACCAAAGAAATGTACGGAGTACGGGAAAAGTTTAATAACCAGTAGTGTGCTTTATCAACACAGGTGGATCCACACGGGGGAGATCTATAAATGCAATGAATGTGGGAAATGCTTCTCTAATTCAAGCTCCCTTCTTTCCCATACAAGGATCCACGCGGGGGAAAAACGATACAAATGCACCAAGTGTGAAAAATGCTTCATTAATTCAAGTACCTTGACTTCCCATAAAAGAATCCACACAGGGGAGAAACCATATAAATGCATGGAATGTGAAAAGAGTTTCACAAGCAGCAGTCATCTTAGTCGTCACAAGAGAATCCACACAGGGGAGAAACCACATAAATGCAGTGAATGTGGAAAAAGCTTTATACAAAGTAATGCACTTAATAAACATAGAAAGATTCACTCGGGGGAGAACTCAAGTTAGCTTGTAGACTGGAAAGGGTTTCTGCATTAATAGAGAATTCATATGGTCCTATTTTAAAACCATACAAATGCATGGACTGTGGAAAGGGCTATAGCAGTGGTGGCGAACCTATGGCATGGGTGCCAGAAGCGGCACTCGGAGCCCTCTCTGTGGGCACGCACGCTGTTGCCCCAGCCCCGCCTCCCCCCACGGCCCCTCCTCACCAGCAGCCCCCCTGGAGGAGAGTCGCCCCCGGGCAACAGGGACAAGACTCCGCCCTCGCACCCCATAGCATGCAGATGATGCTGTGGGGTGTGGGCAAAGGGCATGGCTACCATGGTGCTGCAGGGCTGCCTGGCGATCTGCTGCAGCAGGCCATGGAGGTGGTGTGTGGCCCTGAAGGCAAGTGGGGCAGGGGGTGGGTGGAGGCAGGGCGGGAAGTGGAGAGGGGATGGGAGAGTGGGTTTTGGGCACCCAGTCTCTAAAAGGTTCGCCATCACTGGACTATAGTAATAACAACAATCTACTTCCAATATTTCACACAGAGAAAAACCATATAAATGTGTAAATTGTGGATCAAGTTTCCACAATAGTAGAACTGTTCTTTCCCCTAAAGGCATCCATACTGGAGAGAAACCATATAAATGCCTGGAGTATGAGAAAGAGCTTCCCAACCAGGAGTGACCTCGGTTCCCATAAGAAGATCCACACTGGTGAGAAATCATAAATATACTGTGTGTGGAAAGGATTTACTCAACCAGTCAACTTATGGGCATAGGAAAATTAGTTTGTGAGAAACTTACAAACCACAAAAATAATGCAACCCCTAAATGAATTCTATGACGAAAAGACTACAGGTAAGTCTGCCATTATTGAAATTAGGACTGGCAACTCCATCGCTAAATAATATTGTCATTACGTGAAGTAACACAAGGCTGCGTTGGACTGATGTCGGTCATTCCACTGTGGTGGTTCACCAAATAACTGCAAGATAAGCACAACACATGGACATGGCTTTCAATTTCCTACCGGCTTCCCATTGACTTTGCTTCTCAGAAGCTGGCTGTGAAGCTGGCTGCATTTGACCACAGGAATGATGTAACAGACCTAGGTTCAAGAATAGGTTGTAAATGCACTTTTTCAGCATTTTTATTTGAACAGTTGCTGAACCAGGCACTCGGCAGGAGAAGAACGACTTGCATAACACTCATGCTATCCCTATTGTACAGATTGCTCAGTACAAAGGCTATCAACGTATTGACACTTCCTCGGGTTTTGGGGATGAAGAAAACACCATGCTGATTGCAAGTCAATCTTGGCTTTGCTGTCACCACGTAGCTTACTGAATAAAGATGTATCATTTGGTTTTCTTTCTTGCTTTCAAAAACAGAATTATTTTATGTCAGTCTCATAACTTCCGTTCTTTCTAAATGCACTTTTAACACTGAGGGGCAAGAAAGGAATACCGGTGATGTTCCAGAACTACAAAGAAGATAAAAGCTTTTCTTCCCAAATAATATTCTCTACTTAATTAAGGAGCCATGTTTGCATCCCAACTTTTGGTGGAAGTCCAGCCTCATAAGTAGTTAGGGATGCAATCCAAAGCAGGGATTCTCCGATTAAGAAGAATTTGAATCATTATTGATTAGTCCAATGTTAATTTTCCCTAGTTAGAAAAGTAGCTTGTGATGAAAGATGACTGACTGACTGTACTAGCTCAGCAGTTGTTTAATTTCTAATTTTGTTTTACTATTGCTGTTCCCCCCTCCCCCCCATGGAAATCTTTTACTTATAATCTGCAGACAGCAAGGGATTTAATAAGGCATCCAGGAATGGAAACCCTGTTCTTGAAAGATTGGATGGTTGCATGACAAAAAACACATTTCAAGATAAACATAAAACTCATCAAGAATTGAAAATTGTCTAAGTAGTGATGTATTTGATCAAGAGCTTCATGCAGGTGTCTCCTAAACTCCAAGCAGCAGCAAATCTTTGGGTTTGCCTCGCAGAAGGCTCCATCTTGAAGCTCATTGTTAGGTTGAGGTGGATTCATTCTGATGAAGCAGAGTACTCAGAAATTAACACTAATTGTGTCTAAGACAGTGATGGTGAACCTCTGAATGGCTGAACAATCTATATAGCGAGCAAGCCCTTGAATTGGAGGATCCCCATCTCTTTCTCTTAGGACTGAGAGAACGATTTGAAGACCCATCCATCGGCCTCAAAGCAGCAGGACAAATTCACAAAATAACACAAGCAGGGAGGCCTGCCCTGGAGTACGTGCGAGAGTTCCGCAAGATGGCAGGTCGAATAGAGGGGTGGCCTGAGCAGTCCCTCATCCATCAGGGAGCCATCGGCTTGCTCAAATCTCATCGGTTTGGAAAGCTGTTTTGCCCTTATGCCCATTTTCATGGCAAACGCCAGACTAATAATGCAGCGGGTACATCCCGAATCAATTAGTACATTTAAGTCTATTTGTGCCCCAGACTTAGGGATTACAAGTTTGGCGGGCAGTGAGAAAGGCAGGATTTGTTGACTCACCATTGGGTCTTTTTCTCCTTCATCGTCGCTATCAAAGAAGGGAAGAGCAGGGGCAGGTCCACCTGGAGTCTTGGCATCCTCCTGTGTGTGGGGTGTAACCTGGGCAACTGGTTCTTGCGTGAGTCGATTGGATTTTTCTCTTGTTAGCCGCTGAGCAGGTTTCTTTTGCATCGCTGGTCCTGGCTTGCTCTGCAGTCGAGGGTAGGGGACTGGACAGGTGGCCGCTCGGTGTCCTCCTTGTCCACACCGGAAACACTCGAAGGGCGTGCAGGTGGCCTGGGTCTCTCAGCCCTCGCAGTAGTTGAAGGCTTTCGTGGGGGTGATTGCTGTTCAGGTAGCTCTGGTTGAATTCTTTCCCTGTGGCTACTTTGAAAGGCATGTAGCCGGTGCTGCTGTGCACGGAATTATTGTATGCCACCTCCGCGAAAGGGAGGAGATCAGTCCAGTTCGTCTGTTGGTAAGAAACGTACCACCTAAGATATTGCTCCACCATTTTGTTAGCGGCTTCAGCGGCCCCATTGGTGGCTGGATGAAAAGCAGATGATAACCCTTGAGATGATCCAATCAAGGTAAGGAAATTTCTCCAAAGCTTGTGAATTGCACCCCCCTGTCTGAGATTATTCGCTTAGGGGCACCATGCAGCCGGTAGATATGTTTCAGGAACAATTTGGCCAGGCGTTGGGCGGATGGGAGTCCTTTGCAGGCGATGAAATGAGCTTGTTTCGAGAACAGGTCTATCACAGTCCAGATGACAGTATTTCCCTTACTTTCAGGTAGGTCCACTATAAAGTCCATAGCTATTTCTTCCCAGGGTTGAGAAGGGTCTGCCACGGGTTGCAGTAACCCAGGAGTTTTCCCCGGGATTCTTTTCATTGTAGCACATACAGTACAACTTTTTACATAGTTTTCCACATCCTTTTTCAGCCCCGGCCACCAGAATTGTCGGCGGGTGAGGTGTAGGGTTTTCAAATATCCAAAGTGTCCAGCCTGCTTTACATCGTGGCTGTGGTTGAGAGCATTTAGACGGAGCGCTTCTGGCAAATATAGCTTCCCCCCTTTGTAAGCCAAGCCATCCCTGCATGTTAGGGACCAAGTGCCCAAATTGCAACCCAAAACCCACTTATTTGTCACCGGGTGCCAGGTGGGTGCGGCCCACTGGGTGGGTGTGACTGGTGGTCATGGCAGACTGGGTGGGTGTGGCCAAGGTGGACGTGATCACCTCAATGTTGCTTGTGGGGACAGGGTTGGGGAAGATCCAGGGGGGCTCTGGCAGGTGGAGCAGTGGGCAGGAGGCTTGTCCTGCGGGGTGAGGGAGGCAGGGCGGAGGTGCCGTTGTCACAGGGCAAGGTGAGGCAGGGGCCAAGGCGGCTGCTGCCTGACACCATAGGCCCCTGCACACAGAGGCCAATGAGTGCATGGGTGCTGGGATGCATCAGGCCACATGGGACCTCAGCGAGTTAGTGGGTGGCTGGTTGAAGAGGGACAATTGCCATCTCTAGGGCATGGCATGCGTGTCCACAGAGAGGGCTCTGAGTGCCGCCTCTGGCACCCGTGCCATAGGTTCGCCACCACTGGTCTAGGAGCTTTATTATGTTTTTATGTTGCCACGCTCCACAAGCTCTCATTGTAATGTATGATTAAAACCGGGTAAGCATACCTGATACATATACCCCCTTCAAGAGCAATTTGTTCCGGTAGCATTCCAGTTCATGCATAACGGCTGAAACTCTTGTAAAAACTCAGTTCCCTTCCCTTTTATTAGCTAATTTTTTTGGCTGAAGTTGTCAGTCACACAGCCTTGAAGCCAATTCAGCTCCCCCCTCCCCCCATTGACCTTTCTTGTTGGAAACCATTTGGGATGGTCACAAAAGAGATTACATGAACTTGGGAACCAGCAACACTCAAGTGAAATTTTACAAGCCTGCACAGTAGCTGTTGTTTTCATGGGCACTGTCCTGTTTTAAACCAGGCTTTAAATACAAGTTCCTGCAGTTATGCATTTTTAAATAATTGCATATATCATGTTTTCCCTTTTTAACCTCTCCTCTTTGACAACACTTCACTCAAGTCTTGTTATTAAAGGTTGCAGATATGCAATGCTGCAAATGTGTCCTGGCACTTGAGAGCATGTGCGCACAAATACAGGGAAAGCCATAGGAACAGGGACTGAGACTCTATGGCTGCTTAACAAACTCAGGAAGAGAGAGGAGGGGAGAGGGAGGCGGCTACCAAAGGCAAACATCCGGCCAGGAATCCACGCCCTCCACTGGATAGGCCAATGACTTCAATCCGACTGTGACTGGCATTGCAGCCGACCAATGAGGTCCGTAACTTTGGAATTGGGGCTTCGCCTCTAAGTGTCAATAAGTATCCAGCCGACCAATAAACTTCATAGCTTTGGAGGCGGTCAATCAGTATGCAGCCGACCAATAAGTTTCATAGCTTTGGAAGTGGGACTTCGCGACTCAGGACCCC